AATAAAACATCGGCCAAATCTTGCGGGCACACCACACAACCACTAGAACCGACATACGAGCCAAACCCCACAACACGAAATCCCAAGAGAGAACTGTAAATCCGAGATCCTAGAGCCAAAAAATGTGAACAAACTCAAGCCGCATAGTCAAATCTGGCAAGTAGACGTTTCTCTGTCTAGATTTGGGCTCCAATGGTCTTCAAATCCAAAAAGGAGAAGTTAACTCGATTAGCAATGTCAGCTCTGCCATGGCTGAAAAAAGGGAAGAGCGACGGAAGCAACCTTCGTGTCCCCAACCGTGGCACAAAAAAAGGGCGGCTCTGCGAGAACTGCAGCCATCCTGCCCCCGAACAAAGGCAGCAGGAGGGGTGGGTTAGATAACCTCCGCCCCTGACCCAGCTATGGTCGGAATAGAGAGCGTTGCTGCCAGCCGAACAAGAGAAGGGGGTTGCATTATTCAAGATCTGGTTTTCTCTGTAAAAAACTTTATTGAGAAAATAAAAATAAAATGACTATTTAATATAATATCGAAACCTGTGAGAACGTAGTGTCTTTAAAACATATTCGTCCTGTATGAGCGTTTGTTTCCCAAGATATAACGGTAAAACTGAATAAAATACAACAAACTGAAATTATGCCCGGACAAAAATACTATAAAGAAAATGGGGAAAAGCCTTTAAAAACTTTTGTCTTTTAATATTTATTTATTTTGTGTTCTTCTCAAAGGAAGACAACATATTTATATAGGCATGAGAATGATTTACATTCAATAACTTATGCATTTAAGAAAGTGAAGGTTAAAACTCTTGCAATACTAAAAAGCAAGTTACAAGTTAATTTTTTTTACATGTTAAAAGTTAATGTTATGTTACCAATTTCATTCACATTTTTGCACGAGAATTTTAGAGAGATAAAATAGGGTCTTTTCAAGTGTTGTAGTTTCTTTATTACACATACGATTCAATTTACTATTACATGCTAGTTATTATCATGAAAATTATTGTTTCAAGTGACATTGCGAAATCAAATAATTGGATAAGTAATTTTTTTTTTAAAAAAAAAGTTGGTTAATTTCAGGCAAAATATGACATGGATAATTTATCAAGAAAAAATACCACTATCTTGTTGAGTTGAGTGATGTATTCATGTTTTATAAACTTTTGAAAGTTAACTATTGAAACTTGAACCAATACCTAAAATTCACAAACGTTGTGAAATTTATAAATATTACTACAAAAAACAGGAAAATAATGTAAATGAAGTTTTGATGACAAATTAAATGAGATGAAAACAACATACTAAACAAATATCCATGAACCTTAGAATTTATGCTCATACGGCCTTATGTGAAATTGATCATTCCATATCATGGTCGCACGTAATTAGTTAGTCTTCTAATATATGTTTGGCTTATGTTATGTGTAAAAAAGAGGGAATATTAAGGGTGTGTTTGTTAAATGGATAATTTGAGTGAATTAACTTAAAGTGAATTTTTTTGAGTTAACTAAGGTTAATTTAGAAAAAATTGGTAGTTAGTTGTTAGTGTAATTTTAAGTTTATGTTAAAAAAATATTTAAAATAAAATAATTAAAATTAGTTTGATGTAAAAGTATGAGAGAAATGATATTAAGTAATGGTTAGTTAAAATTATGTGAGTGAATGAAAAATAAATTAAAGTTGATATGATGTGTAAAAATGATTGGTTGTTATTATTTAATGATTGTGTATTATTATTTAATTACTTTGATAATATTGATGATAGTGGAATTAAATTAAAATTGAGTTAGATTTTGAGCAGAATTAATTTGGTTTGAGTTTTTCTTTTAACAAACACACCCTAAGTAATGGCTTCGGAAGTCTCCTAAAACTGTTGTGCCACACATTGTGTGTGCGGGAATACATTGTGATTGATTTAGGCTATGTTTGGTAAAATTAGCTGATAAGCTAGCTTGTAGCTTATTTGTAATTTTTTAGCTTATAGCTTATAACTTATGACTTATAGCTGAAAAGCTAGCTTATATGATAAAAGTGTTTAGTAAAATTAGCTAATAAGTTAGCTGAAATTAAAAAATCAACTAACTTATTTGAAAAGCTACCTAAATTAGCTTATGAGATAAGCTCGAGCTTTTTAAAAAAGTCCGTCCTATCAAACGAGACTTATTTGAATACAGAAAGCTTATAAGCTAATCAAATAAGCTATAAGCTAGCTTATTTAACTTACCAAACACACAACCTTAATGTCAATTGTAACAATAAATTACTTCATTTGTAGTATGATTTGCAATAGTCAAACAAGCCATTCGAAGTTCTTTTAATCATCATATTCTTGTTCAACATTAATGACTATTCTAGAACTATCTTAGGCCAAGATAGAGCTTTTTATAATCAAGATTGAGGCATCTACAAAATTTAACTATTCTGGTGCAAGTATTTACGAAAATATCCGAATAGATCCCTTTCTGTGTTAATTTTGGTGGTTTTCGTTTAAATTCTGAAGGCAATGGCTACTTTACAGTTTAGAGTAGCAGCACTATGATTGCACTTGCAATTTTGTACAGCTATATACTTATTACAAAAAGGCAACCACCGCCTTTGGCTCAATGACTGGTAATTATTACTCTAGGTGACCGGTCAAAACATAGAATTGTTTCAAAAAATAATTTAACTTTAGGTCGTGGTCTATCTAGTTAGCCATAATTAGTTCAGTTGTGGCTATTTGGAGTATATCAATGTAAAGAAGTCCATCTAACTTAGATTATTGTCTCCTACTTCTGCTAACACATTAATTAACAATAAACATTATTTTTTTAAAATAAAATTAAATGCTTAAACTTCATATAAAAATATGTACTATTGAAAAGTTTGACCGGTTACCAGTAACTCTACGGCATTCATATTTGGTAGTAGTACTTTTTATCCTCCAATCATTTTTTTCCTAAAATAACCACCAAAAATAACAATAAGTAAAAAGGGGACCCAAATAAAACATGGAACCAAAAGGAAATTACAAGTACTCAAAATGAAAAAAAAAATGTCATAGCATTAGAGAAATTAGTACCCGTAGAAATGCAAATATGCAAATAAGATAACATAAATCACATATACAAATAGATATTATATTTAAAATTATAAGTTAAATAATGTACATATCACATTTTATAAGTTTGATCATTAGCAAAAATAAATAATATAATTATATTTTTTACTTATATATGAATCGTTATATAAACTGCACAAAACTTAACTAATAATGTAAAATATACAAATTTAGAGTATTGTAATTAGAACTGTTAAATTAAATGAGTCGCTCGTGAGTTCAACTCGACTCGGTTCGTTAAGCCTCGAGTTCGAGCTCATTTAAAGTTTGTTCAATTAAAGAGCCGAGCTAGACTAGACCCGATAAGGCTCGTTAAGTATTTTTCTATAGTTTGGATCGATTTGGCTAGTTTAAACGAGCCGATCTCGGGCACATTTACAGCTCGTTCACTTAACGAGTTGAACTCGACTAGACTCAATAATACTCGAAAATATAATTTTTATGTATTTTTCTATAGTTCACTCGATTTGGCTCAGTAAGGCTCGAATTCGACTCGTTAATATTGATAAACGAGCCGAACTTGAGTTCGATTATAAGCTCGTCAAGTCAACAAACAGAGCCGAGCTCGAGCTCTACTCAACTTGTTTACACACATAATCATGATCAATTACTTAATTAGAAAAATATTACAATTCATACTATGTTTACATGATTTTAAGAGGTTTACTATGTCATTATAACTATTTAGCTATTTAAAAAATTGCACAATGAGATAAAGAAAAACGATAATATTAATTTTAAAATAAACACATTGAAGAAAAATGTTATTTAATACGTC